ATATATGTGTGTACTGGCCATACACACAACAAATGAAAGTACTGGGTACTCCAGTATTTTTTTCCTGTATCTATTTTTTAAAAATCTATTATAACCCAGAAAATTGATTTTATGACTTCTTATATGGGTCTCAGCCTGCTGGGATGGGGTGGGGGGAGGGTTTGACTAGATAATAATGCTTTACATTTATTTGGTAGTTTAACATTTTACTGGGTACTTTGATACATACTAATATACCCTTAAGTACGAAAACCTAAAAGTTAGGATACAAATTAATTGTTATCTGTAAATGCTTTGTTTCAGCAGCAGTGGAATTGGAAGGGGCTGTGAAGGGTGGCATGGGGGAAATGTTTATTTCCTTTTTTCCTTTCGTTGGCTTTATGTTATATTTGGTAGTGTTAATTTATTGAGTCTACTAATTCTAACGGTCCACTTAGGGATTTATATTCCTATTTTTTGTATGTAGGATTACCTCAAATCCTGTGGCAAGCATATACAAAAAACTTTTTCCCCAAGTAGTTTCCCTCAAACCAAACCAGAAATCTTTTTTAAATCTTCATGTTTCTTAGTCATAAAACTGCTTCTAGTGTTTGTATAATTTTGGTGGCTTAGACAGGTCAGGGAGGGGCTTTTATATGGAGAAGCATAACAAGAAGAAAAGCCATCTTTCTGTTTCTTATTCCTCTATGTATCATATGATATTGTCTTAAAGGCCTTTAAATTGCCAGGGGAACCTTGGTAACCAAGGCAACCTTTTGCTGTTTTCCTCTCAGATGTGAAGTTCTGCATTTTATTACACCATCAAGAAGAACTAGTCTGTTACCAGTAAATACTTAAGCCACAAAACTTGCTTCTCTATGCTGCCAAGTACTTCCTGTTTTTTCATGTTTCCATTTAGGGAAAAGAATGAATTTAGAGTAGATGAGCCTGAGTTTCATGTTTAAAGCAGCTCTCCTGATATTCAGTTTGGAAGCTGTACAGATATCGAGATAGAGGGGAAATGGCACATCATACCTACTTATGAAGTCATTTATCAGAAAGCTTCAGTTGGCTTCACATCATGAAAGAGGATTGCCAGGAAGAGATACTTTTGTTGTCAGAAATAATTAGCATACAACTTGACAGCGTTGTGGCTTGCCTTTAGATTAAATATATTTTGTTTGTGAATGAATCATTACATTGCCTGTGAAGGAAAAATTCCATGTTCATTTCTAGTAGACTTTTCTACAGATATGTAAGAATTGCATTCAGCCACATTTACTCCATTTTCAGTAGGGACAGGTGAAAGGTCACATGGTGATTAGAATAGAAGTAGGCTACATTGTGAATATAGAATATCTTTGGACAAAAAAATACAGTAAAATGATTTTAATAATCTTTTACAATTAAACTTGTGAGTAAAAAGAACAATAAAGTGATGGATTATCTGTCACTTTTTTGTCCTATGAAATCAATTTCTAATTAAGTGTTAATAGAAAGTGTCAGTAGAACTTACTTTCCATGTAAACTTGAATCCCTGATATTGCTGGAAAGGATTGTGTTAAGGTTCTTTTACAGTGGCAGAGCCAAGTGCTTCTATAAAATTTTCTTTGACCAAATTGACCTGGCGTGCTTTAAGTCAGAGCTATTTTTCTCTTTTTTGACCTGTCAGTAAAATGTGAAAGGTGCTTTTTAATCCCTGAACACTTAAACAATTTGTTCCTTATCAGCTCCATGGCATTTTGGAAATTTGCAGAGAACTAATGCTGAATTTTAAGATTTTTGTAACCATCTACTGTAGTTTCTACCATATACTTCTTTTTTTATCATCTTAGTATGTGCTCATATTTCTGAGACATGCATTTCTTTAAAAATTCATTGAAAAAAAATGTTTTCCTAAATATCTTCATGACCTACAGCTTCATCCTCCACTTTGCTTTATAACAGAAATCTCATCTGTTGAAACCCTATAATTATTTCTGTTGCTGTGTTCTCCTTTTAATAACCTGTGTTCAAATCAGTGATTCTCAAATTTTATTCATAAGCATATCAAGTACTTTTTCAGAGTACAGATTCCTGGGCCTCGCTTCAGACCTCGCGGTTTCAAATCTGTGGAGGATTCTTATACAGGTGGTCTTTGAACCAGATCGAGACAGTTATCCACCACATGGAGTTCCCATTGTCATCTAAATTCTGTTCTTCCTATTCTTATAAAGATTAGTCTTTCTACTTTGAATTATTGGCTTCTCAGAAGTTTTTCTTACTACTTATGGACATCCTTAGTTTTCCTAAATTTCCTAAATTCACTGATTGGCGAATTCATCCACCAAATCTCGAGAAAACTGTCCCAAATTCCCTTCCTTGTTTGTCAGTTTATCTTCCTTCCCTTTCCAAAGCATACATTTTTAGTTCAGTATGTATATACAGTATATTTATACATAATAATACATGCACACATATTTTTAATATATCTTGCTAGTGATTTTAAATGTTCCTTTTTTTTTTCCACTGGGGAAAGAATTGTGTTTTACTTAACTTTTTAAATCTTTCTTGGCAATGTGACACATTGTAGGCATCCAAATGTTTGCATTAATTCTTTTCTACTATCACTTGGTTGCCGCTACCAAAGATGATAGGTTATCATCTTTATATCTCTGATTCTCATACACTATTGCCCTTTCTCTAAATTATCAGTATTTCCTTGGTACCAGCTTAAGAATAATTTCTTTCATATCACATTGGTCTTGAAACCTGTTGGCTTTTCCTGGAAAAAAAGTTTTTACTAATTCTCATTCGGACTTTATAGTTCAACTCCATAGTTTTCCTAAAATTCCACTTTGTGATTTCACATAGTAAAAATCAAAAGTCCAAATTGTACACTTCAAAGACAAATTCAGAATGTGTAAGGACACTTGCTCTTCAACAGCCTTTATATGTTAACCACATTACACTAGCATTTACTTTTTTAAAGAGCTGTTATTTATGAACTAAGGATACATATAATATGGCAATTATATGTATCCTTAGTTAGATGGTTAAAGAAGGAACAAATATGGCAATTATATGTATCCTTAGTTAGATGGTCAAAGAAGGAACATTAGTTTTATTTCTAATGTGAATTATCTGTTTGAATCTTTTGCCTATTTTTAAAAATTGGGTTGTTTTCTTATTGTTGAATTTTTGCAAGTTCTTTGTACATTCTGGACATGTCCTTTGTAAGATGTGTGATTTGCAAATATTAAGAGTTTTCACTCAGTGTTTTTAGGAGAACAGGAGGTTTTAATTTAGATGAAATTTAGTGTGTCAGTTTTTTTTTCATTTGTGTGTCATGCTTTTGGTATAGTATCTGAGAACTTTCAAATTCACAGAGCTCTTCTGTTTTCTTCTAGAAGTTTTAATTAAGAGTTTGAGGTACATTTTGGCATATGAACACTTTTGAGTTCATTTTTTCATATGGTAGGTATCAAGGTATGATTTGGTTTTTGATGTTGGTTTGTTTTTGCATATGGATTTCCAGTAGCATCTGTGAAAAAGCACTATTCCTTCTTGAATTATTTTTTCATTTTTGTCATTTGATTGACCATATTTGTAAATTTTTTAGACTATTCTGTTTCGTTAATGTCTATTAAAAAAAACAGTTCTAAAATTTTTAAAATGTCTATTATAGTAACTTCAGTCTTAAAGTAAGATGGCATGGGTCTTTTTTTCTTCTTTGAAATTGTTTTGGCTATTCTAATTCCTTTTCCCATATAAATTTTAGAAACGGCTTATGGATTTCTTAGCACCACCACCACCCCCAACCCCCATCCAAAAAAGAGCTTCTTGTAAATTTGACAGGGTTTACAATGAATCTGTAAATTAGTTTAGGGAGACTTAACAATGATGCTAACTAAGTCTTCACTTTGTTTATTTAGTTCATTTTATCACCAACATTTAAAATTTTTCAACATAAAGTCTTGCATAAATTTATTCCTAAGTATTCCTCTTTTGATGCCATTTTCAGTAGTATATAATCATTTTATACATGATGAAATTAAGTAATGTGCCCAAGGTGACATAATTATTAAGTGACAAAGCCAGGTTGAAACCTACGTGAGCTTATAAACCACTAACCTGGTTTTAATTATGCTAGTTTTATTATGAAATTGGTGCGCTTACAGTGATGGTAGAGAGGAAGCTCTAACTTCTAATAAGAAAAATCCCATTACCGTGCTTCTATAAAAGAATTGATCTTCCATAGTTTGCATATTTTCTCAGCTTGGGTTTTTCAGATCTGTTCAAATCATAAACTATACTTGTTTTAATTTACAATCCTCTGACCAACACAGTTGTGAACCAGTGCTTTTAGATAGTTTACCTCATGCTGTTCACTAGTATGAATTATGTCGAATAAAAAATGTGTACCTTTAGCATTTGATTGCTTACTGCGTGCTCACCAGTGAAGATAAACACAATTTCTTTTCTTGAAGAACTCCCCTCTGGGGAAGAATACATTTACTATAGTATACACCATAATAGATGCATAACTGTGGTCAGTGGTAGAACAAAAGCTTTTATTTGAGGTTGAGTATTCTAACTCATTTCATATTTTGCAGTTCCTTTTTAATAGTTCAACAACTAGTGAGAAACTTGTAGAGGACTTTGAGAGGGAGAAATTAATTATTTTAGGCTTTTTTTTGGCAGATGGTTGGAGTCCTTAGGAAAGACCAGTTAAGAAATAGCCTAGCTATGGCGAATTCAATCTGAATATGGTAGACTGCAGGAAAGTAAAATAGAGGTCAAGTCTGGGTTCCATTTTCAAAGGTAAGGAATTCAAGTTAGAGAAACAATATTAGGATAGAGTGTTCTACTTTAAGACATGATTTTCAGTTGTAGGCTTTTTTCTGGTTTCTTAACATTTTGTTAAGTACTTTTACAAAGTGAGAAAGGAAGTATTGTATTCTTAATTTGAAGAGTATTTTGTTTCAATTAGTTAAGCATATTGATGACATACAACTTGATATTTCTCATTTATTTTTCAGGTCCCTTTATGAATGGTAGAAATAAAAGCAAATGGATAGTCTTAATCAGATAAGTGCTTTTTTAGGCTAAATATGTTTTATTATTTGTAATCTCTAATCTAAACTTTATTCTTTAACCCATTTCCTGATTGCCCTGCGAATACTAGCTGGCGGTTGCAACATTTACCCCAAGGTAAACTTGTGGATTACAATCCTAACCTTACCCCCAAAGTTTGTTATGAATATCTCGCTCTAGTATATGGATAGTCTTTGGAAACAAATGACGTCATTCAATTTATAGCATTCTGTTTTTAGTAGTGGTATTTCTATTTATAAAATATAGTAATTCTCAAACGCTGAAAATGTCAAATCGTAGAAAACGCAGGCTACCGTAATGTTAAACATCGTTCTCGAACAGTTGTTAGCCAAAGATTCATTTGATGAATCTGATTTTTCCGAAATAGACGATTCTGATGATTTTTCAGATAATGTTTCAGAAGACTGTACAGTCAGGCCTTCGTCCGATTTGAAATCTGATGGAAATATCCCTACGTCAGCTAACTCATGTCACGCTCTGAAATGGTCAACTTGTGTTATGATTCCACGTCAGAGGTATGACTTTACTGGCACACCTGGCAGAAAAGTTGATGTCAGTGATACTACTGACCCACTTCAGTATTTTGAACTGTTCTTTACTGAGGAATTAGTTTCAAAAATTACCAGCGAAACTAATGCCCAAGCTGCCTTGTTGGCTTCAAAGCCACCTGGTCCAAGAGGATTTCCACGAATGGATAAATGGAAAGACACTGACAATGATGAACTAAAAGTCTTTTTTGCAGTAATGTTACTACAACGTATTGTACAGAAACCCGAGCTGGAGATGTTTTGGTCGACAAGGCCTCTTTTGGATACACCTTATCTTAGGCAAATTATGACTGGTGAAAGATTTTTGCTTTTACTTCGGTGCCTGCATTTTGTCAACAATCATTCTATATCCGCTGGTCAATCAAAGGCCCAGGTTTCATTGCAGAAGATTAAACCTGTGTTTGACTTTCTTGTAAATAAGTTTTCAACTGTTTATACTCCAAACAGAAACATTGCAGTCAATGAATCACTGATGCTATTCAAGGGGCAGTTAGCTCTGAGGCAGTACATCCCAATGAAACGAGCACAGTGTGGTCTCAAGCTCTATGTACTTTGTGAAAGTCAATCTGGTTACGTGTGGAATGCACTTGTTCACACAGGGCCTAGTATGAATTTGAAAAATTCAGCTGATGGTCTGAAATCGTCACGCATTGTTCTTACCTTGGTCAGTGACCTTCTTGGCCAAGGATATTGTGTCTTCATCGGTAACTTTTATACATCTCCCATGCTTTTCAGAGAATTACATCAAAACAGGACTGATGCAGTTGGGACAGCTTGTTTGAACACAAAACAGATGCCAATTGATTTGAAAAAAAGGATTGCAAAGGGGACAACTGCAGCCAGATTCTATGATGAACTTATGGCACTGAAATGGTATGACAAAAAGGAGGTGATAATGTTGTCAACATTCCACAGTGATACTGTGATTGAAGTAGACTGCAGAAATGGCAAGAAAACTAAGAAGCCTTGTGTCATTGTGGATTATAACAAGAATATGGGAGCAGTAGACTTGGCTGATCAGATGCTTGCTTCTTATCCTACTGAGTGCAAAAGGCACAAGTTTTGGTATAAAAAATTCTTTCGCCACCTTCTAAACATTACAGTGCTCAACTCCTACATCCTGTTCAAGAAGGACAATCCCGAACACACAATCAGTCATGTAAACTTCAGACTGACGTTGATTGAAAGACTGCTGGAAAAGCATCACAAGCCAGGGCAGCAACATCTTCGAGGTCGCCCATGCTCTGATGATGTCACACCACTTCGCCTGTCTGGAAGACATTTCCCCAAGAGCATACCACCAACATCAGGGAAACAGAATCCAACTGGTCGCTGCAAAGTTTGCTGCTCGCACAACAAGGATGGCAAGAAGATCCGGAGAGAAACGCGGTATTTTTGTGAGAAATGTGATGTTCCGCTTTGTGTTGTTCCTTGTTTTGAAATTTACCACACGGAAAAATATTATTAAATACTGATCATCATATACATTTTTTACATTAGGATTAGAGACAAGTTCTGTGCAGAAATAACTCCAAGAACAGTTATATTTTATTTTCACATTGAAAACCACTTAGATTTTCTTTGGCCTCAAAGAGTTTATGTAAAATTAATGCTGGCAGTGAGCTGCACTTTTTTTCTAAACAGGAAATGGGTTAAAACATTTTTTTTTTCTTTTTTAGGTACCAGTATCAAGGTTTACAGTAAGCAAGGTACTCAAATCTTTTCTTAGTTAAATGTATGAGTTGTTAAATGTATGAGTTGTAAAATGTAACAGGTAATTTTACATTAAAAAAGCCAGGGTATGAGTTGTTCTTGAGTTGTTTGTAGTTAGCTGTTCATGTAAAAGATTTGCTCTTTGAACTACACAGATGCTCAAAGTTCAGCAATGCCCTTGCTGCTAAAAACTCAGTGCCTAGATTACCTTCTTAAGAAAACATAACTGAATGGTGTAATACTGTCATGAGCCCAATAAATGGTGTATATATGTGGTATACTTGGCTTGAGTTCAAATTGTTTTTTTTTCTTGCTGAGTGCTACTGTTCTGGTTATGACAATTCTTGCAGGCAACAATACTGATTATTCCTCAGTAACCATTCTGTTTACAGAGCACTTCCATGTAGTCTCACTTATCATTTAGCATAAAATATGGGTGTTTTTATTTGAACTTTACAGATCCAGAAATGTTTTAATTGATGGAATAGCAACTTTATGGATACTTAAATCCACTCCTCACCACAATAAAATATTCTTGACTTTCCAACCTGAAACATGTTTCTTGTGTTACACCTAAAGGTTAACAGTGGCCAATGACCAAAATCACTTCAATAAATACTGTGCAGTAGTGTCAATTGCCTCCTAAGTTTGGTAGGTACTTTTTACCCAACATCCCAGCATAAAATCTTTAGATTCTAGCTGAATGATGGAATGGAGCTTTGAATTTGATTCCAAAGCCTCTGGTTTGCAGTATTTTAACTAAGGAATTTTTAAATAGGCATCAACATTTTAATGCTGAGTAAATATGTGCTTAATTACCTCCACCAATTTTGTCAAGCAGATAGTAACCAAACTTAAGTCATTACAAGACAAAATTTTAATGAAAATTGGTCAGTAGGTATGTAATAATCCACAGGGCTAAATAGTTACATGGGAACTATAATAGAAATTTAAAACAGCTGCAGAAGTGTTACATATTGTCATCATCTGATTCATCTTCTTCCTTCAAAGATTCCTGTTAAGAGAAAAACAGTGTTTAAAATCAAATTTTTAATATTACAACAACCTGAATCTAACCGCTTAATGAACAGTGGTTTATAATAAGGTACCCAAGTAAAGAAAATGATAATTAAATGTACCTTGCTTTAACAATTGACTGTATTCTTTAGAGCACACACACAGTATGAATGCATTAAATGTCCTGAAAATCCCTATCCATTTTCACACAGTTTTGGAACCAGGGCAACTTTATCTCCATTGAGGATAACCCAGAAAATTTCTATCCTTAGTTCAACTCAACTCTATTTATTTAACAGAAATCAAACCAAGTTCCTTTATTATTCAACACTTACTTACATGGATTTTTCGTGTGGTGTCTTACCTTAGCGTATTTTTCAGCTTCTTCCCTTATATCTTTTGGAACAATTTCATGTCTTCCTTTAGTTACTAGAAATTAAGCCATATATTTAAAATGAATTAAACACGAGGACTATATTATGCAATCTACCCAATTCACAGGTATGGTCCATCTATGTTAATGTTGTAAAGTTGTACTTTGAGTAATACAAGATGCTTTGACTCATTTTTATGTTTTCTCCACATAAAAGATTAGATCTGCCCAAATTTAGCTCTTATGGATACGAAGGCTAAATTATGCTATGTTATCTAGATGCTGTGATAAATCCCAGGTATTCACTAATATACAGCATGATTTAAAAAAAATTAAACTGGCCTTGAAGCGCTATGGTTACCACGCTAGAAAGAAAAACTGGTGCATTCTCAGTAATATCTTAAAACATTAAATGAACTATTCACAACTTCAGTCAATTATTAAGCAGAACTTTCCTTCGAAAAGATTACTTGGTTGGTTCTGGCTTTCTTTGTTCCATGGTCAGGTGCATTTTGGCCACCCCCACTGCAGTTGAACATACGAATATTTCATGACCCAGCAATTCCACTCTTACGTACATTTCCAACAGAAACACTACACAGGTGTACCATAATAATTATGCATGATGTCCACAGTTGCATTTAATTTTTTTTTTTTTTTAAAAAGGAAAAAGCCCAATCGGAGATGGATGAATTGTGGTATATTTAGACAACAGAACACTATATAGCAAGGCAAATGAACAAATACTATTTAAAATACAAAGCAACATATTAATTTGTTGAAAAAGTCAGGGACAAAAGAATACATATTGTATAATTCCATTTACATAAACTTTAGCAGGCAAAACTATCATGTTAGAATTCAGAATTCAGGATAGTGGTTACTTTTGGGGAGAAGGTAAGGACTAATTTCAAGGAGGCCTTTAGGGGGTGATCAAGACTGGTCTACTTGTTGACCAGAGCAGTGGTTACAGGAGTACATCCATATTGTGATCATTTATCATTTGTTATTTGTGTACTTTTCTATATGTGTATGTCACTAACATTATTTTAAAAATTAAAAGGCACCCAGTAGTAATTTAGGTTTGGTACAGATGACTCCCAGAGCAAATAAATGGACAAAAGTAACTTACTTTCTCCAACCCAGCTGAGCTCTAGTTCAAAAGCTTTATCCTTAACTTCATCGTGTACTATGTAAATTCTAAAACAGAAAAGAGGAAATTAAAACAACCATTTGGTCATCTACAAACACTGTAGTTCATGCACCCCTTCAGCACAAATTAGAACATCCATCCCTAGTATCAATATAAAATTATACATTATATACATTATACATAGTTTATGAACACTGGAAAAAGGCAAATCACAAAAGGATTAATATAAAATTAAACACTACAAATGGTTCAATATATTTTTACAACCCATTTGTTTGAGACACTGTTTTCGAGGCATAATTCAAAAAGATACCTCATAAAGAACACAGATTTCAATGGGAAAAAGCGATCATGTTTTCTCTATCATTAACTGATTATTTTTAAAACAAATTAATTTTTTAGTTTGCAATTATTATTTATCTGCAACTTCTTGGCAGGAATCTTTTTAAACCCTAGTACATTTTTTTAAGAACTATATGCCCTTCTGGCCTTTAAATGATACATGCCAAACTGCAGCAAACAAGTAGGCACTGTCATACAACATATTGAAGTATCAAAAAATTAAGTATAGAGCAAGGCTTTCCTATTATACTTTCCACCATCTTACACATCTTACTTTTGGAGGGTATTCCTAAAGCCTGTGATAATATGAGAAATCGCCTTAATTTTTGGAAACTAAGTAAAATATACACAGTGTTCGATTTATTAAACGATGAAGGGATGGCTTTTCTACATGGAACTAACTCATGTCTACTGTTACACCTAAACATAAAAGGTGTGGTGAAGGCTGATTTCCGGAAGCATTTCTCAGTGAAAGAAATTGAGTTTATCATGTTAGACTACTGTCAATTCAATGAGAATTATTTACTTTCTTTTTAAGCAATTCTACTGTATACTAGTGTTCCTCAAGTTATTATTAACTGACATTTGTAAAATGGGTTCTGCTTCATAACTGGAAAGGGTCTCATGGTATACAAAGGTGGTGATGACAGAGTGGCAAAAGCAGGAGTTGTGGACAATTAAGACTTTAAAAACTCTGAGATTGTATATATTTTGTTTTAAAAAAAATTCAGTTTAAAAGAAATTAAGAGTACCATTAAGTATACTACTTATTATATAATAGAGCTCTCTAGGACTTTTTTTCCTTGCATGTATGATTAGATGTAAAACCTGAAGGCACTTGCAAAACTTGCTGACTAGACGGACCATGTTCATGCAGTCCAATGTGAAACAAAGGTGCTATGAATTCTCTGAATTATATTTATTACTTTCAAATCTGAAAAGATGACTGCAAAACCAGCACTTTATTGGATTTTTTGAAATACTAAATGAATTTTGAAGAATCATGAATTTTGAAGCAATGACACTCAGGTTTACTGGCTTTGTTGTTGCCTACTATTAACTCATATAGCATTCCACTCTATGTACCTATAAGATGAACCACTTCAGGCTTTCTTAAACTGTATTTAAAGGTTTTGAATACTGCTCTTCTCATCTTGTAAGAACTGTTATGATTAACATATCTTGCCTAAAGAAACAGATTATGTATATGAGCCAGCTTCATGGATCATGTATAGAAATAATTAGCTGTAAAATAAAAAATAAAGTTTTTTAAATAATCAAATTAAGATTATTGAGACTTCTAAGATTTGGGAAGTTGGCAACTATGAAATGAAGCTTTTAGAGGTCCACTGTATCCTAGACTTGAATTCTGTCACCTAAACACTTTATTTTGTTAAAAGCTATTTTTTTTCCCAGCCCACACTAATGGTCACTTGCTATGGATATTCTCTTCTTTAATTATATACTAAGTTATCTTCAAACAAAACAGCCTCATAGAATTAAGGCACAGTGAAATATTTTTGTCAATGGTAAGGAAAATTTCAACTTACATTTTTGCAACTTCTTTAACAACATCACGGCAGGTCATTTCTTTCATCTACAAAAATAAAATACACATTGTTATGAGTCACAAGAACACCACTTTCCACTTGTAACTATTTTCAGATTCTTTTCATGACCTATATCAATAACCCACACTCTTGAGTAAGTCTCAAATATAAAACCAAGGAAAATAACCTGAAATCCCAAAAGACCAGAACCTAAGTTTCTTGATTCACACTTTAATGTTTTTAAATTATTATGCCAAAATATTCTGGACAGTCCTTGGGTACCACTAATTTTGTGATAAGTATTAAAATTTATTACAGTCCAGACTGTTCCCATTGATTCAGAGGCAGACTCTCATGTTTAAAAGACTATAGAAGAAATTTTTTTTTTTATTGCCAATTTAGGATAATAAAATACAAACAAATCATGAATACCTACTATATACAAGATATAGAGAGATGAATAAGATAAGTTTTCCCTAGTGGAATTCAATTAAAGACAAACTTCAAGACAAATGCAAAATGTTAGGGAAAGCTTTGAAAAAAGATTTGAATGGGTTCTTAGAACACAGTTGGATTTGGTTTGATTTTGAGGACGATAATGAAAAGTACAAGGCAAAATTGGGAAGCCAAAATCCTGTTCTAATGTATTAGAAGCAATTAGCATTCCATTTGGGAATCAGAATAAAAAAAATAGCCTTTGTTACCCAACAGTTTGTATATGTATTGGTAGTAGAAATAACCAGCACAAGATTTTATTAAGGCAAATGGGTTTCTGAGCATAAATGGCAAGATAAAAAAAACATTTGAGCAAACTGCCATTTATATTCTAACTGTGTTGGGGAAGATGGAAGATGGTGAAAGATGAAGGGTATTCAAAAAGCAGTCCAGACTTGAGGTAATTCAATTACTTTACCCCTCTAGGTTCATTAATATTTTATTTTTGGTGTTTTTTAATTTAAAAATCCTTATGCTCTGCCTGTACAGCCACATGAGGAAGCAGCAACAACAAATCATAATTTTAAATTTAAGAATACCAGTCTTGTTAGGAAATAAATCAAGTATGTGGGACCAACTACAAAAGTAATTGGCGTGGGCTTTTCAAAAAAAAT